TATTGTGGAAAACAATTCAAAAAAGTTTGAAATTTATTTAAAGAAATTGTTACAAAGACACTGGTTAAAGAGGGGTGAGAAAAGCTTTATTTTGGACCATTATTGTAAGCTTATGGTCTACTGAAATGGGAGGTTGCACTGTGGAAGAGAGATTGTGCTCAACTTCAAATACAGAGTGAGCAGTGGAAATTAAAAACTGAGGAGCAGTGTTGAGATCATCAGATGAAAAATGACTAAATAAACATTGATTCTGGATAAAATTTAAAAAAATAGGATACTTGCTGAAGAAACAGGGTGATCAGACATCACCCGGGGGTAGTGGATGATGAGAAACCTAATCACTTCATTTTAAAAGATCTGAAATTTACTGTGATGCTTCTTGCTGAACTACTTTAGTAGGGTTATTTGCTCAAAAGGCATTTTACAAGGAAGTATGCAGAGGAAACTAAAAGATTGAGAGGCCTAATGTTTGATCAAGGCAAAACTTTGATACATTTTAACCATGTCTAAGTATATACAATTTTGTACTGTTCAATATATTCATATTATTGTGCAACCACTCCAGTCAGTTTTACAAGGTGAAAAGGGTCATAGCAGTAATGCTTGCTAGACAATGTGAATACACACAGTAAGTCTGGTCAACTCACTTTTCACATTGTAACTCATAGTGACTTCCATCAGCCTTTTTCTGTCACCACTGACCAGCTACCTTACATCTCACCCACCATAATTTGGTCTGTTCTACCTGGGTCATGACATTGGGCAAACCAAAACCAAAACCAGCCCAATACCAATTCACCTTGGGTTGCATTCCTGGACCAGCAGGTATTCTGCCTCAGAACCTCTTGGCTAATGCTGGCCACAAAGGTCGTGATCAATGTCCAAAGAGGACCTTGGAAATTTTATAACCATTCAGAAATATGTTGTTTCTCAACACAGCTACAACCTTCACATCCCTCCTGTCCAGCCTAAATCAGTTCCATTCTCAAAATCAACTTGGACATTTCACCAGAAGTACACTTGCAGAGCCCTCTCGGTGCATAGGTGTAGTTCCCAATCTCTGGGAGGCCTTAGAATTTTTCGTTTGTTTCTTTTCTTTGTTAGGCCTTTATGTTACATTTTATTTTTTAAATTATTTTTAAATTTTAATTTATTTTATATCTTTAATCACTATACATCACTTAGCTAATAAGTTGAATTTATCCAAAATGAAAATACTTCCCACCAGAGCAGTTGAGGATACAAAACACATTATCATCAACATATTATGATCCATTTCTATATCCCCAAAATGCCTGCCCATTTTTCTCCTTAATTTCTTTCTTTACACTTTCATCTTTCTCTTATCTTCTTCCCACATTGTCTCCAGTACCTATAACCATTTTCA